CAACGTTTAAATCGTTGTCACTCACCAAAATGCTCCGTGTGTCCTTGTCCGTGACACGTGTACGAACTGTCCATTTCCTTGTTGACAAAACGTTTGCATTTATTTGTTTTTTGAAGGCAGTTTTGTTCGTCAACTTGTAGTTTTATTCCCTGCCTTTGCTGGCACACTGACATATCTTAGGGTGTTACCCACCATCTGTTGCTCAGTTTATTCGTGTGACACTGTTGCTAGGTGTGTACCACGGCCTGTGCCACGTCTTCATGCATAAGATAAACAATATGATGTTTTTGTTTGTTTTTAGGAGAGCTCCGACAAGAGTGTGATCGAGCTCCAGCAGTATGCCAAAAAGAACAAGCCAAACCTTCATATCTTGAACAAACTACAAGAAGAAATGAGGAAACTGGCCACACAGAGGGTAAGAATTACACATCTACTATACAGAGTGCAGAAAATATTTAGATGTTGAATGTCTCTTTACTTTTAACCAGAGCTAAACCTCTCCCCTGCCTTTCACAACCCTGCTCTAGTTTTTTGTCTATAACAATGCAGTACTCAGCGGTTGCCTGGTTCTGAAGAGACGAAATGTTTAAGAAAACGGCCAAAGTGTAACTCTGTAGTTTGGCTGTCATTTGTATTTGGATTCAAACATGTATAGAAGTGTAAAACTTTTTACAGAAGACCTTTTGACTTGCCATGGTAGGAAAAGTACAGGTGTTAGTAATAATATTGACTCTGCTCTGTTTGTGCTCAATAAACCTTGACAGAAGTGTGTCAAATGTCTTCTGTGAAAATGTCTGCTGTATAAGCTCTTTTGTTTCTAAGTGAGGAACTTCTCATCTAAAGCTGGAGGCTGTTTGTTTTTGGAATGTGTTCATCCTTCGTTCCATTTCCAAGAGCCAAAAGGATTTATTTGCTGTATATAAAGGTATTTTGCCACCTGAGAGCTCATTGAAGGAAATAGGAGGGAGTAGTTTTAATCCAAATTAAAGTGTAGCTTTCATTTAGGCAGACAGTAAATCTGCAGAGTCCCAATTAGTGGGATTCTCTTCTTTATCGCAGCTACATTTGATGCTTCAAGACTTTGATCAGTGTAGCTGTCGATCTCTGGTTGACAAACTTTCATCACTACTACCAGGGTGTGTATACTTCTGTATAATTGGGCTATCCTTCTAAATAAACTGCTCATGTTTTTGTAACAGGAGGAAACAAGGAAGAAACCCAAGATGACCATAATGGAGTCTGCCCAGCCAGGGAGCGAACCCCTCTGCACTGTCGACGTTTAAAGTCTCTGAATCACTGACGAACCACGGCACTGAAACCCAGTCACTGTCAGACATCACACCACCATTTATCACTTAATTATGCATCACTGAGATCTAATGGCAATATAGTACCACATTGACCGGGCCAATCGAAATGCTTGCTTCCTTTACCTGCATTTTATTGGTTCAGCTGGTAGATGTAAGGGTAGGACTAAATGCACTAACGGACCGTAGAGCAAATATCGTCTACCTCTCTAGATGCGTCCTCGCTATGGCACTAGGAAAAAAAAGAAAGAAAGAAAGAAAAATCCCCCCCCCCCTCCCTACAGGGTGCAGAGAAGTTACATGACTTGATAACACATGAACCACATCACAGTAAAAATGCATGCTTCTTTAACTGCGAAAACCACTGCACACATTGGTTTTGTTTTGAAGTGTTGTTTTCAACAGTGGCAGTCTTATAGTACCAGCACCTGTTAAGTTTTGTTTGTGCTTCAAGTATTTGAAAGGGACTACTAATACTTACTTGTATTTATACCATTCATTTCTAATTGGGGAAATAAAGTTCCTTGTTTATTGGGTATTTTAATGGTAGGTGTTTTGGATATTTTGGGTGATAAATACAAATATATGCCGTTTTTGTTTATCCTCAGAATGGACAGTCGCTGTCTTGGTTTGCACGATAAGAACATGCGTTGTGAGGTGATCACTATTCGGAACCATTGTTATGCACTCGTGTCCTGTCAGATATTTTCGTTGAGTGATCATGCTGTTGGTACAGAAATAACTGCTTTTGGGATATTTGGGTTGACTTTTGTATTTGGAGGGTCTCGTTGCCTTTTTTTTTTTCATTTGCTTTGGCAGTACAAGAAACTGATGTGCTGACACTGCAGTAAATCTAAGCACAGGGCCACAGAGTACTGTAATAATGTTGAGGATCATTTCATTTATCCTCTTTAGTTCTCACTCGCTTTATATTAATAATGTACTAACACCATGCAAACAACTAACCGCTTAACACATTTTAGTTACTTCTTAAGTTTTGGTGCCCTTAAGAAAATCACGTTGGTTACATGTTGCCTTAGTTAATCCATTTCATGAAGGGCTCAGAGTATATACAGTACATTGGACCTAAAACACCCTTCAGCAAGAAGTGGAAAGACCAAGCCCCATTTACTTGATAAAGCATTTAATGTTTAGGCAATTAGTATTTTTAATGAAGACAGCCTATAAAACATGACACTTAGGGAAATATGCCTACAGCATGTGCAGATTTTTAAGACTCGTCTTTATGGATTGTGTATTTTGTGTACGTTTGCCATCATTGTGACAGTTGATCGTACTGTCTGACCACAAGTAGAATACATTTTTCCAAAGGCAGCCTTGTAAAAAAAATTAGTTGGTACTGACGTGAACAAAATGCGATCAAGTCATTTAGTCCGACACAAGCTGACGAAACTGTGTATACCAAAGCTTACATACAGTCTTATGCATTTTATAGAATACTTAATGTTGCTGCAAACTGTACAGTAGAGACAGTAATAGATGTATAACAGGAAAATGCTTATCACTTGCTGGAACAAAATAGAAACTGCTGTGCATTCTCTATCGAGTATTTGGCCTGTGCTTTTTCTACAAAAAAAAAAACATACAAGGACACATCGGTTTCAACAAGGCTCTTGTGATAGTGTAGATCGCTTTAAGAATGTGCTTACCCTTCTGTGCGTGTGTTGTCTTGCCAAGTGTGTGTCAGTGTGAGAAGAGGGGAAAAAAAAATACTGCTTTTATGTGTTGCCGTTGAGTTGTACCAATGAATCGTTTGAAATGTTGCTGCCTAGAAAATGAAGTACGTATTGCAACCTGAGCTCCATGACTACAGTGATATTTGTTATGCAAAATAAAATGTCTTGACTAATGACTAGAAGGGCTTTGTTTTATTCAGTCAGAGAAAGATCAAATGCAGAAAGAAGGAGACGGTAACAGAGAAAGTGGCACTTTAGTAATAGAGAATTAAAGCTACCAAGATTTGACTTACTGTTTTAATCCACAGCTCATACAGAATATGGCTAAAAAAAAAAAAGTACTGCAGAATTCATACAAATGGACCCATTCCTTACAACTCACTTTAGCAAATATTGTCCTGTGCATACTACAGTGATGCTAAGATGACTGTATAAAATAAGGGTTCTTAACTGGATCAAACACTTGAGATCAATTGTGTTTTTGTTTTTCTTTTTTTTTTACTAGCTCATTCCCAAATACTTAAATGACAGAGAAAACAATAGTTCAAAGCTCCTTGGAGCCCTGTATGCATACATTTATACTATAGGAAGCCCGTGTCACCTATCAAACTGTACAAGGTCTCTGTCTAAGGCTAAGAACCCATCTCTTCCTGATTACAGCTGGGTTTGCTGCTGCTGGGAGTTGTAGTCCACTCTCTCTAGCAGCAGAAGCATCTCGACGTGCATGGTCTGAGGGAACAGATCCACAGCCATGGCTCGCACTGGACGGAACGGGGCTCCGTGAACTCTGTTGGATGGAGCTCTGCACAGACTGAAGACAAAAGAAAAATTTAAAATTTCACAGCGTTACAGAAGAAAAAGTATTCCATTATTTTCAAACGTCTGCTTCTGTATTTCTTTTGTTTTCTTGTACTAAAAACACATCATGACTCACTCGATAAAGTTGGTCATGGCTGCCTTAGCATTACACGCCACGTAAACCAGCCTCTTCAGATGCTCTGCTCTTCGGATGGCAAGAATCACCTTGGAGTCTGTTTAATGAGGAAAACATTTCTTAATGTGAGCGTTCTGAAAATGAGTGGGGATATATGTTGTGTGAACTCACGTAGGCCTGCCCTCGGTGGATCCACGATGGCGGTGACGTTGGGTGACACAAGAGCGTTGAGGATGTTGGGGAACACATCCTCTGCTTTTCCACAGTGAAACTCAATGTTACTTAGACCTAACGAATACATACAAAGAAAGAAGTCAACAAAAAGGAGGGGAAAAATATGCAGCACCTACATATAATCATTGGGGATAAGTCCTGACCCACTGATCTGTTGCCTGGCTAGGGCTTTTTCTATAGTCTTTGATTTTTGTAAGGTATTGGATCGTTTAAACATTTATTAAAATGGACCCATGTGAGAAGTTTAGAGGGAAAAATCACTATTTGGTGACGCTGTTAACAACTAATAGACATCTGATATGTAAGAGACCATACACAGAAGTCAGTGGTTTAATATTTAATAATGTGTTGTATTTAAAAAGATTGTGATATTAAAGTCTTCAACTCAAAAAGCTGTCAAATACATGTACTGGAGTTGAAAATATTCTCTCTCCCTCTGAAATGTAGTGGAGTGGAGATATAGTAAAATGAAACTACTCAAGAGCAAGTACCTCTAAGCTGACCATAATTACAATACTTGATTAAATATATGTAGTTACTTTCCACCATTGCATAAAATAATGACATTGTACATTCTGCAAACTGCTGGCAGCAGTGATGTTGTCGGTGTTCTACCGTTGAGCTTTGCGTTAACTTTGGCGTCCTCCACTGCTTCCTGGCACAGCTCGATTCCAATCACCTTTTTTACCCTCTGGAGACAAAAATCAAAAAAGAAAGCCACAGTGAAAACCTGGGTGGATGCTCATACTCAGTTTGCAGAATCTCTCCTTCAGCATGTTTTATTATCGTCATTAATGTTACACACTCAACTTTCTTCACCTACAAACAGTTAATAGCTGCAGGTTTCTGATCTCCAGTTGACTCACCAACCTGTCCAGTGTTTACTGGTCTCTTGTTTGTTGTCTGTCTTCTATCCTTTTCTCTCTCCTCTCTACCCTCAACCCAACCAGGTGAGGCAGATGACTGCCCTCCCTGAGCCTGGTTCTTCCTGTTCAAAGGGAGTTTTTTTTCTTTCTGCTGTTGCCAAAGAGTTGGTCAAAGGGAATTGTTTGGATTTGTTACGTTTCTTTCTTTAATATAACACTGTAAGTCCTTGACTTTACTACATGATTTTTCTTATATAAATAAAACTGAATTTAATTGGATTTTACAACAGAAGCTTTGCTAATCTGTTGGCTGACAGTCAGGGGTGTATGCCAGAGTTCTTCTGCCCCCAAGTGGTCAAAAGAAACAAGCCAGAGTGAAAATGTGCAAAATACATGTCACAGTCAAATTAAGTCATCAGTATTGCACAAAACCTTTTTTTTTTTTTTCTAAAAAAAGCACTACATATGTGCAGACTAATTATCAATTAGTAACTCATCGGATCATCAGCAACAACCCATTTACTCAAAAATTGTGTAAAGAAAGACAAAATCCACATAATACCTACACGTCTGGTTTGATTATCACGGCCGAGACAAACAACAAACACTACCTTAGCCAGAGAGATGCCGATGGTTCCCGTCCCGCAGCACACATCCAGCACCGTGCTGTCCTGATCCAACTGAGCCCATTCCGCCACAGCAGAGTACAGCACTTCTGCAGCTCCTGTGTTCACCTAACAGGTAACAGACATTACCATTCACAGGTTTACCACCTGGTGAGGCGTGGAGGTAAGTGTATGCAGGCATTACAAATCAAAGAAAACAACACAACTGGAACTATTGTATTCAGTAGCTAACACAATATACAACTCAACATTTAAGAAAAAAAAGTCATCAATAATCACATAAAATCATTCACAAAAAGAATCATTCAGAAAATCCACATCAAGCAGAGATGTTCACTGGACGATGCTGATTCTACGTGGCAGTTCCAGTGTACCATTGTTGACAGCAGCTGAATCAACTTGGCTGCAGACGGAGCAGGTGGTACTAGAGAACCTGTGAGGTAAACGCGGCTGTTCCTTACCTGGAAGAAGGAATGAGGAGAGATTCTGAACTTCAGACCGAGCAGCTCTTCATGAATGCAGCTCTCTCCAGCAACCAGCTCACAGGGCAAGTCCTCTGGGTTAGGAGAAGTCCTTCACAGCCAAAAACAGAGGAAGTATAGCAGAATGGTCTGGATTATTCTGACCGTCAAGTCATTGAATGCAGACGGATTGTGACTAACAGAGCATTATGTTGTTTCACCTTTGACCCTCTCTGACAAAGTACAGAGAGGTCACACAGCTGTCTTTCCCCTCTCCTTCTGTGAAGTACTTCCTCATGGAGCTCTTTAGAGCATCCAGTTCCTCTTCTTCAAGTTTCTACGAGTCAATGAACAAATAAAGAACATCAAAATAGAGAAATGCAGCAATATGGGAAACTACTATGTCAGATAGAACACATTTTTAACCACCTGTGGGTTGAAGAACGCCACTGCCATGGCTTGTTTGGTCCTTGTAGTACGTACAGTCAGCTGCTTCCAGTGTCCATCATATGTCTCAGGGCTGTACACAGGGTATGGGGTTGTCCTGTTTGCAACAAGAAGATTAAATAAAATACAGGAAAAACTACTGTTTTTCAGGTCAGACTTTTGGGGTTGTTAGAATAAATCCACCTGGAACAATTTATTCCTATGCGTTGGCCAAAAAGGGTAGGAAAAGTAAAGCCCAGCACTATCAAACACAACAATGTAAGCCAAATATTTATGTGCTTCATAAAGAACTGTGTTTATTCTATTCATCACTGAAACACATGAAGAAACGGACTGCTGTGAAACTCAACATGGTAGAAGATGTAAAACTCATGGACAACCCGTAGCTCCTTGGACATTCATCCAAGGACAGAACTCTTATTTCTTTCTTAATTTTATTTTTGCTCTCTCTTTGTTATTGTTTATCTTCACACCTATTCCTGTTATATTTTACTATTCATACCTCTTGTATGACTGTTGACCTCTACATCTTCCAATTGTACAAAAACGATTTCATCAAATTAATAAAAAAATAAATAAATACATAAAAAAACACTATCAAACACAACATCATATGCAAAGCTAGGCTAAGGCTGCCTCTGTAGGTAGTCTCATGTCTATGAAATAAGAAAAGAAAAAGAAAGAAATACTATGTTGGACAGTAGCTGGTCTCAATGACTACAGTTTGTTGGAACTTATCATGATACCTGATGAACTTCTGAAACTCAGCGACCACCCTCTTGGCCTCAGCTGAGACGTGGCACGTCTCCGCCGGCCCCACCACAGCACAGGAACCTCCTTTATATTTCCCCAGACGGAAACCGATGGTCTTATCCTCGCCATCTGCACCCACCGAGATGAGGAACTCACACTTGTTTCTGTACTCTGTCTACCATGATGCAGAAACAAGATCAGGCCAGTTAGATGTTGAAGCATATAAAGGTGTGAAACTACATCATGAAATTGTTTAAACTTGTGTACTGTGTTTTCTTTTGCTTCTTTTGTGTTTTACTGGTTTTATGATGTAGTATTTTTTCTTTTTACTGCTGCACAACCAGTTGCCCTTTGAGGACAATAAAGGCAATGATTGATGCAAATGTACCTGTGTAGGAGACGGTCGAATAGGTTCCAGAGGACAACACATTTTGTTGTATTTCCCTTTCTGTGCGAACAGCCACGGCAGCATGGCTTTGTTGGTGCTGCCAATCTCTCTGAAAGGAAACAGGATGGTCAAACTTGCTGAATGTTGTTGAATGACAAACCTAAATAACAGCTGTCAGAAGCTTCCATTAAAAAGCACAATATCAACCTTCAGTAACACACTGTTGAAAGTCTAGTGTTGCTGCTGTACCATGTCTACATCACATCTGGCATGCCTCCATGTACATGTCACCACCTACTTGGCCAACCGCTGCAGGACTCCCACCACCTCCAGCTCCTTCCTCCTCAGCTGCTCCTCGTAAGGTACATTCCACAGAGGAGTCACCACATTGGCTATCTGGACACTGAGGGGCTCCTCCTCCTCGTCCCCCTCTGTTCTCTTGGCTGGGGGCTGCCCTGCCGCGCTCTCTC